ACATTTTTCCTCTGCTCAACCCGTAGACTTGGGCTTCAGACGCAGTCACCAATCGCCGTACTAATCAAATCCCGTATACTCTGTGATGAATCAGAAGGCACGGTAGATATTATAGAGTAGAGACATGTGTGATAGAGAAAGATACTTGGTATAGTATAGCAGACGTTAACAATTTACATTTTGAAACGAGTATAAATCAGCACATGTTTTCAGAGAGAGTGATTAAATATGCAGAACAGAAAAGTGCATATTTTGTTGAGAGAGGACCAGAGCTGCAGGTCCTCTCATCGGATTTGAGACCTCTGCAGAGCTGCACTAGTCAGGAATCATAATCAGAAAATAAAACGGAAACCTATTTCCACTGCCTTATTTAACCTTTTTCAACTGCGCAGAGTACCAAAAAAGGTTTCTTCTCTAACTCTATATGATTTTACTCAAGAAAATACAAGAAAATAAGAAACATAAATATAAATTTCGATTTTAATCAACACGCTGTTTTTTGAATGTATATTTTTGATTCGAGAAGTAACTGGTACTTTAGCTGGCTTATAATATGAGAAAGGCAACCTCCGCAAACTATAGATATAAAGAAACACTTAAAAATTGTCATGATCAGGGAAAAATAGCCAAAAGCAGAAGATTCTCAAAATCCGGAAAAAGCTCAAAAAAAACGGAATTTGTCCTGAAAATCCGGACAATGTGCAGCTATGGAGACTGGGTCGGATTCTGATCGAGTTGCAAATTTCGGTTGACAAGCTTTGGTACTAAGATCTTCTGCTTGTATTCACTCGAATTAGAATTATGGTGAGGATGAATCAATATGACTTGTTAAGAGCGTTCAGTCATCGAATATTAATTTATTTCGTCATTAAATTCTAAAGATCTCTCCTAAGAAGTGTCTTGGTAATGGTATTTAATAGTGAACTTTTTTTATGTTTTAGTATTAGAAAACACAATTTTATATAATTAGAATATACAAAGTGTTGTAATAAACTAACTTAAACGTTGAAAACTATTTTTGAAGCTGAAAAGACAGGAAACGTACCATGTGTCTGATACATAAATAGTCTTTTTTTCAAGAACTAATAAATTCAAATTGCCATTTTTTTTACACTCAGTGAAATATGCATGAGTACTTTAAAAATTTCTGTTTTTATGAGAGAAAAAACATCTAATAACTATCGTCTGTATGTTGGTTGGAATATGTTCAATAATCGACGACGACATGATCTTAATGTAAATGTAAATAAGTTAGCATCTCGTTTGTACAATATAATGGCATATGGATTGTGTTTTTTAAACAAGATCAATCAGATTGTATCAATTATTTGGTTAGATCAGTAGAGAGCACGCAATCATCGATAAATAATAATATAAGACATAAAAAAATTGTTATATATTCTATACAAACCTTTCTTATTCTTAAATGTAATGGATGAGCACAGTTCATTGATGGTAAGATCCATAGACATTAATAATTTACATTTTAAACTTCTCATATTGACTGGAAAATTTATCTTCTTTGTTGTGTGTATATACAGTTGTAATCATTGTATATGTGTTTATAGAGTAGTTTAGTATGAGAAAAAATTAGTAGAAGAGGCCTATGGCGTATTTTAATGATTGAAATAGATATTTTTCTAGTGACTATTAAGTTCATCAACTAATTTGATCTTATTAGAAGAAAATGTTATGGAGATCTGTTGAAGATTAAGGCTATTTGCTTTTTACAAAGTAATTTAAGGTTTTTCTCAAATTAGCTAAATTAAGTTTTTTATTTGTCTAAAAAAAACTGGGATTTTACTTATCAAAATTCAAATGATCTAAAAAATATATCATGCAAACTGAAAATCTAAGAAATATTAGATAGTCTGATGATAATTCGACAGATTGTATTATTATACTAGAAAAATGCAGATTATTGAATATATACACGGCGTCACGTTAAATAGAATTGCTTCTTAAGCTATTTTCTTGACTTTTTTTCTCATTAATAATAAAAATGACATTATCAGATGATAATCGTGATGCTCCTTTTTTCGGTGCAAATTTCAAAGCCCATATAATATCTTTCCTTCTCTAATATAATTGGCTTGCTAGATATTTGGGCATGCGTTCTTAAAGAAAAATCAAATTATTGGAGAAAATGTTGAGTTTAACCAAATAAGATAAAAACCATGCCGTTGTCTCATTAGTGTTACAAGATCTCATTATGATACTCGTCTTCGAGAAGAATTATTTCATATTCACTAATAAATAATCGACCAGTAATAATATGTTCTCTAGTGATGTTAAATTATACACATTCCAAGTCAACGCTAAGCTGTGGGTGGTCGATTTTTTTCTCAATTTCGACTTTCATTTCGAACTATTATTTGTTGTTGTTTTTTTACTCTCTATCAAATTCATAAAATAGGAGCAGTACAACTGTATAGACAATTAAGTCAATACTCGCTCTTTAGTACCGTAAATTTTGCCTCTTAAGATAATATTTCTGAAATAACGTCAAATTAGAACGGTATATATTTTACAAATGATCGACTGTCGATACAAACATAAAACTAATCATACACGTGTATTATTGTATGACTAGGATTAGTACGAAAAGAATAAAATAACAAAGAAAATCGCAGCACTGAACATAACAATGTCCTCTTTTGATTCTGTCAAACAAGTTTAGAGTAGGATGGTGATTAACTAATATCGTAGCGCTATGAAATATATTTTTTTTGATTTAACAATGTCTTTTTCTTGTTCATGTCTTTCTTCTCATTTTTCTTGCAAAAATAAAATATTTTTTTTTGCTTTTTTGTTTTTTTTTTATCCGTTTCGAAATGAATATTGATGAGAGCGCTTCTCAATTTTGAATGATTTCCTATTAATGAACAAGACAGCAGATATATTTTAGATATACAATAACAATTATCGATAAAGTTTTTATTGAAGGTTTTTTTTTTTTTGTTTTTTTTTCTTCTCTACGTGCATAATATAGAGAAAATAAAAATTCTTAATATCCCACCGATGACAATTGTTCATACCTATTTTTTATCTTTCCGATAAAAAAAAAAAATAAGAAGACATTTGTGTTCGCAATATTATTAACGGAACACTCAGTTTTAGTCACAGAAATAAAATTGTTTATTTATAGTTATATGACGATAATTGGAACTTACAAAAGGATAGTCAGCCGTTTTGCTGTCATCGTAGTTTAGATTTAAATTAATATCATTGAAGGAATAGATTGTAGAAATATTTCATATTCTTTCATAAAATTTGTACACTTTAAGAAAATGTTAAATTTTACAAAAAAAAAATTTAATTTCAAAAGTCGAAAAAAATAGGGATATCTATACTTCAAACAAGAAGTGTTTTTCATTACATTGACTAACCTTTTTCTTCTGTATTTTTAAATGACAATCAACTTCTATATAGTAATAATGTCTAATTTGATAGACAGATTCTTAACTTCATGTTTTTTAGCATAATACAAAGTGTCTATGAATACAATGTTAAATGATGATCATTAATTTCGTCAAGATGTTTCCATTATATATTTATTTGTTCTGCATTTTTTTGGGAGGGTTCATATCTGTATACATACATACATACATACATAAAGGTAGTGATATCTAATGATCTAAATTTCTATATTTCTATTTTGTTATTGAAGAATATATTTTTATGTTGTAGAATTACATCACTAACTTGATCCTCTATTATTCTCGTTTTTTTAGTTTTTTTTTAATATTTTGTATATAAAAATGTCATAAGAATAGAACTCTTCTTTCCGTGAGCGAAGAGCATGCCCGCAGAGGCACACACTATAATGATGGTCCAGGTTATCCTATGTACAACAGAACAATGAATATGCCTTATTTATTTAAACTGTAGGCATTTTTTTTTTTTTTCTATTAATTTTGAAATAAAATACTCCTTGGGGAGTTAAAATAGAGACAAAAAATGAGAAGAAAAAAAACCCGAAACAAAACGTATTCACAAGATGTTCACTTCGGTAACAATTACATATGACAAACGACTAAATGAGATTTTAACTTCGTATGTGTATGTATGGGTGTGTGTGTGCGTCTGTAAGTAATAACTAGGTGTCAAAATCATAGTTACACATAGAGAAAACATTTTCTTTCTCTTATAATACGTCGAGTATATGTACGAAGAACTAGAAGTAATAAGGAAAATCATTCATTTTATATTATTATTATTTTCGCTACATTGACAGATAACAAAACAATGCATGATATTGTTTTGCGGGGAAATATTTATTATATACTGTTAAATACGATGTGGAGTGTATTACAAACGAATTAAACTTTGTTTTGTTTTTTTTTGTTCAGATATTCTTTCTGATTCGTTCTTCCATAGATTATGTTACAAAATTGTAATAGACAAAATTTTCTTTGATCATTTCTGAACTGAAAAAAAAATAGATAACAAAAGAAGAGAAAGAATATACAATTCATATATTGAGGAGAAAAATGACATTATTTTTTATAACAAAATTTATTTGACAGAAAAATTTCTGGTTGATTCTGTTGGCATTTCAAATATCAAAATCTATGAATAAACAACAGGTTTGTTGATATTTTTTTGAAAACGTTAATTTTACTGTCATGAATACATTAGATGCATATTAGGGACATTTTGAGTAAAAGCATCAATAATCCCTTCTTTCGTCAAATTAATACTACGTATAACTTTCTTGTACTGGAAGAATTAGATATACAATAGGGAATGTTCTTCTAGTTTAAGTATAAGAGTAATAAGTAACAAGGTTCTTTCTTTCGACTAATGGTGCTTTTATGGATTTGATTAATCAATTGTTATGCAAGTATAGTAGTTTTTACACTTGACAGTAATAGAAAAAATATTTTTCTCTATACGTATTTTTTTATGTAAACTAATTAGGGAAAACATCTGCAAAAAGTATTTTTCATTTAAAATTAAGATTTTTGGAATTTCTCATTTAATAATATAGACAAAAAATGGTAAATTGAAAAATATCTATCTAAAATTATATTCTTATTTTTATTTATTTAGACCTGTTATCAAGAATTTTTACGTAATCAAAATAAACGGGATTATGTTGAAAAATTTCAACAACATACGAAAAAATTATTAGATATATCGCTTGAATTATTTGCAAGCGATTTACCCAACATGCAATATTTAGCATTATTAACAATAAATAGATTGTACGATGTCTATGTATATCATAATCTTATTAATCCGGGATGTTATAATGCGTGTTATATTCCGCAATCGCGTCGAACATTGTTTATGTCATCGACACAAATAAGCAATCCAGATGATATAATGAGTAAATCAGATACAAATCGTTTACCTAAAACATCAGCATTGTCGAATATTTTGAAAAAAATATCACGTGATACTGATGAAAAACGATCAACAACAACAACAGGAAAAGGACAAGTATCATCACTATCAGGTCCAGGTCCTGGTGGTGGTGGATCTAAAGAGATTATACGTGATATACCGAGTAATTCTTCAGCATCAAAACGGTGGATACCATTATATAATAAACAGACTAGTACAAGTAGTACATCAAATACCAACGATGATTATTTTTCACCAAAAACATCGATGACATCTGAAATGGGATTTGGTTGTACCACTGGAGGAGCAGATTCAACAACACAGCAAACAAATTTTAAGACGTCAAAATCGAATTTATTTAATAATTCTAATTCTAATGTTGAAAATACAACTTATACAAATGAACCATTTTCAGTATTATATCAAATAGAACCGGCCTATTTATTACGTATAATGCGTACACGTTTAGAAGCGCATAGAAAAGAATTCAATAATCGTCCAAAATGTGTACCATCGACACGTTCACCATTATGTACCCATCATTGTGTTGTTATATTAGCGGCAAGAATTTTAACAGTTCTATGTCAAGATCAAACATTTCAAACAAAATTTATATCATCAAAAGATAATTTAAATACTGTAATCGAAATGTTGAACATCAACAATGATCCGGTAAGTTGGCTATACCTCAAGGAACTTTCAGATTAAAATGTGTATTAAAATATACGCTAGTAGAAGAATTGTGGGCTAAGATTTTCACAAAATTTATAATATGTTCTTGAACAATAGGTATAATCATAGATTCGAAATTCACAGTTCTTCTCGATTTATTTCCCTATCATCTATTCTTAGATAATACGAACTAAATCATTAGTATGAAGAGAAAGAGTTGATTTGTATACAAATAATTTGTAGAACACTTACGAAATACATGTAGGAATAAAATTTCAAAAGCTAAAACTGTATTTAAAAAATAAGACTGAAAAACCTACACGTATGAGCTTTTGATTTCATCTTAATAAGAATATGATTTATGAACTCAAAGTAACATTCAAACTAAGATTGAAATTTTTGTGAAATTAAACGAAATATTACGAAAAAAATAAAGACAAAACCTAAAAACTAGAAAATTTACATGAAATGAGGAGCAGAGAAACAAAATCAACTCTAATGCGCGAGCGTCATTCGAAGAATAAAATTATTTTAGAGAAAGTTTTGAAATTTTGATTTCATACTGTGTTGTAGAGGAAATTTTTTTTGAAAGATAACGTCACAAATGTAATCATCCTAGATCTTTGCTGTTACCATTTCATCAGGACTACAGCTGAATTCTGTTACATAAAAAAATATTTTTAAGCTCGCTTAAGGAAACTTTGGCAAATTCTGCATCTCTGATTAGGAGGATCGGGATGGGCCTAAACGACAGCATTCCACTACTATGAGCCATCCACATCCATGTGTATGCTTATCAGAACAAACTTGTAGGCTAAAATATATCGCTTATTTGATGACTTTCTTCTATATGAACTAGTTCAACTAGCAAAGCGATTGGTCAACCTTTCAAAGTCTTCAGTTAATGAGAGGGAAACTATTAAATGATAAAACTTTCAACATCGAAAAACTCGCTAATCAATAGAGATCGTGAAAAAAATTTGTTTGATTTATATACAAAATAAGCAAAACGCGTTCGAATTTGAGGTTTTACCAAGGAAAGTTTATTAAGGCGTCTAATATCAGTACAAAATTCAGATATACGTTGAAAGAGTCTTATTTGATCTGATAATCATCGATATAACTAAAACATCCTGCCACCATCAAAGTCGTTGCTCAGAGACACCCAGACGCAAAATATGCTCTGAAGAAACTCATGAGGCTACAATCCAGGCTTGTGTTTTTTATATAGATAGCGTGAATCGTGTGGAATAACTTTATACTTAATGCGAAAAGTGGAATAATAGTATTTGAATTTCTTTTTTTCTCCTTCCTTTCAAGTACAATCATCATCATACAACCTCTCAATTATCAAAAACATCAGTATCATCTGTATAAATTTGCTTTTCTTATATAATAATTCTAATTCTATTTTTATGCAAATAATAACGATGACGAAAAAAAAAAAGAAATCAATGAGGCAAATCATTATTTTGCAGTAAATCCCAAATGATAGGATATATATATATCTATGAAACACTCTAATGATATCTACTACATTGTATACATTATTAAATCATCATCTATGTGTAGTCAAGCAAATTTTTATCGATTATGTTCAGTATAGATTTGATGAGGAGAAAAAAGCTCTTTGTGTCTTTGTATTGAAAATAACAAAGAAATACACATTGATGCGTCTAATCTACACGGCTCTAAATCCTTTTAGTTAGGAGAAAAAAGGTTTTCGTCATGTTCCGGAAAATGAGATTGTTTCATATAAACAATTATTGAATAATGATACATCTGCAATATTCAAAAAGGTTGAAAACCCTCCACGCCCTTGAGGATAGATGGGAGGGGAGGAAGTACACATCTTGCTTACATTTAGTTTTGTTTCCCATTTTGAATCTTCTCACATTTTCCTAAATTTCAGAGTTACGTGTATGTCAAATGTTGAATATGTGAGGGAAAAACAATAAAATGACGACAGTGTATTTTCCTAAATAAATTTTGGAGAAAGCGGCATAATTTAGCCACCTTCAAAGTGTTAATAAAAAATATTATTTCTTGTGTGTTCAATATGTACCTTGATGATCACACTGACATTTTCAAGTCTCTAAATCTTTTTTTTAAAATAGCACTTGATATGTCTCATTTTACAAACACTTGGCGTTGTTGCATTAAATCCTGATTGTCATGATTCGTTACAAACAGCTGATATACCAGATACTGTTCTGCATCTTATATTACCTGCTGATGAAATGTTTTATACAAATCAGACAACAAAATTTGCAAGATACGTCAAACACTTAGGTACAATTATACCTTCTCTTCTCGCTGTTTATTTACTTTATAGATATTATTTGTGTTATAGGTGCTCGTGTTCTTGTCTATATGGGATTATTGACAAAAGTGAGCAATAAAGTGAATTTATTTGACATTCTTGAATTAGAACCAGAACCATTGGATTGTGAAAAACCACAAAGTTTTGAAAATAATTTCATTCATCATATGGCCGTGGGAGAAAATTGTGTAGGTACATTATGGGCATCATTTGCTGGTATCTCAATAGAAAAATTATTAGATGAACTATTAAAGGTAAAAATTATTAGTCTTCACTGAGGCCATAGTGCCAATGAGAGTGTTGTATCCTTCATAATTGTGATTATTATTGTTATTATTATTATTTAGAACGCCATGAATCAAACAAGTAGTCGATTACAAACGTCAGTATCTCAAGAAAACAACATTCCAACAGTGAGCAATACCACCATGGCCGCTACTTCTGTTATGGGTTCATGTACTGAGAATTTACTCTACAATTTATCGTATCTTTCGGCGGTTATTCATCCTGTAATTATATTGAGATTGCTCGAACATCGTCTGTTTACGCCATTATTTAAAAAGAAATCAACTGCTGGTTCAACAAAACCCGAAACATCTATGGGTACTAAAACACAGTTTACTAGTACAACAGCGCCACTACCAATACCATTAATGGGTACCTCTGCATTAACATCTATACCCACTTTACCTCATCCAATTGCACCTGTTAAGAGACAAAGAACGTCTGTTTCAAAAGATCCACCATCGGGTGGTAATGATCGTTTATCGTTATTGAATAAAATAACACAATCGACGTCTGATAAAAGAAAAACATCTAAACCAATGAGTAATAAAAACAATTCATCTGTAAATTCATCTTATCCGTCTGTGATACCGTCTATAACAGCTTTAACATTGCCACCAGTGGGTACAGCAGTACCAACGAATAATGACTTGCCATTAATTGATGAACGACGAGATGTTACTAAACCAGTTAAATTTGATTTCAGTCGTAAATGGTTCTGGCGAAATTCCGATAAATCGAATCAACTTCTTGGTGCTAATACTAGTGATCGAAATCCATTATTACAATCAATTGTTGAAAACGATACATCATTATCAACTCGTTCACATGGAAAAGATATGAAATTATTAGAAAAGGAATTATTAAATTTACCAACATTTCAATTGAGTGATAGTCAAAATCCTCTGTTGCCAAGTCCAGTTTGTTTAAGTTATGATTTTGCAACACATTTTGAAAATGATTCAATATCACCAGGAAACTTTTCAGACGTTGTTTTGATTAAACAACAAAATAAACGTTCTCCAGTCACGATATCTAATGGTGCTATTATGTATGGTAATGGATCAAATGATGATGAAGGTAATACTTATTAAACAAAACAGTCCATATAATTTTCCTTATATCATTTCTAATTAATGTTCACTTTTGAATGATTCTAATGATTCTGCTTCGTCATTTGTATATCTAACTTCGTTTTATCCTGTTCTTGTTTCTAGCATTAGTATCATCTCATCAAGACATTAATTATCTTAATCCACCAACAACTACATTGAGTATTCCGTTTGTTGAAGTACTTATGCCATCTGATGATAGCAATGGTTCGAATTTTAATGGTAGTCTATCAAGAAATTCAAACGGTTCCATCGATATTAATAATCATCCACAACCGTCATCATCAAAAATGTCTGTATGTGAAACGGTTAAAAGTATATTTCGTTCATCAAAAACTAGTGATAATATTCAACAAAATAATAATCAGTATCATCCACGCGATGGTGAAATACTCAGTATGCCATCAAAATCATTGTTAAATAATGGACAATCATCATATTTAGCTAAATCTCTATCACAACCAATAACAATATTCGACGATCAATCAACATTAACCGATTCACCACTAATTAACCATACTGAACATACACCATTAATTGTCCGAAAATCAACGTGTAAACCAGACATTGCATCGAAAAATTCTCAAAAATCATCATGTGATACAAATCTAAAACGTTTTCGTTTAAATCGTAATGGTTTACGTTTACAGTTGAAGTCGGAACCCCTTCATCGTAGTCATTCTTGCACAGATGGTATTATTAACAGTCAAAAACAACACCAACACCAAAACAAACAGACACTGCTACTACATAGTAGTGGTTCTAAGAAAAAACCGAGTACAAACATAACAATCAAAAGTTTAGCTGATCTATTCGAACATAATCCAGTAGCACCGACCATGTGTGATAATATCAACGGTTATTTAAGCATTGGAGAGAGATATTCATTGCGTTCACCAGATAGCAGTAACTCATCAATGTCCGGTTATTTGTCCCTGAGACCGCAGACAGAAGGAAGAATAACATGTTTAAATGAACTACTGTGCGGGACAAATAGCAACAATGATAATAAATCAAGTGAATCATTATTTAGTTTTCCATCGCCGACACACAAAGAATGTTCTTCAAAATCGTTAATAATGGTACCAATGAAAGGTGGTGGTACAACAAAACAAGGCAACGAAATTCTATATCTCATCGCAAATTGGGTATTACGATCACCCGAAGATTTTCAAGGTTTGGAAAAAGATGAAAGAAAAAAAATGAATTGATTTTGATCATTTTTTTTAATTTGTAGATTATCTTGTTCAAAAGGAACTTCGTAGTTTTTTTGCATTGTTGGAATCATTACGCGATTCGTTTCGTAGTTGGACAGATCAAATCAAAGAATTAGTACCATTATATGTAGAGGTAAGGATACTCCTCTGTCATTCAATAATGACAGTTTTTTTTATCAATTTGTTAATTATGGTAGGATATTGAATCACCGAGTTGTAGTGGAATTGATGTGAGCAACGAAAATATCTATCGAGAGTATCTGAAGGTATGATGAATTCGTTGGGTATATGAATGCGTTCTCATCAATATAAGCGTATTTTCAGATGCAACGTGATATTGTGTCTGGTACACTAATTTGTTCGAAAGAAGAAGCAGCCACATTAGCAGCATTACAACTTCGCCTTGAAACATGGCCTGATGAAAATTTAGAATTGACTGATGGTACGTTTCTTATTTTTCGAAGATGAGAAATGATAATTCATACGCAGTTCATCGCATTTTTAGATGAGGAATTACAATCACATGTAAATACACTTAGTTTAACATTGAATTCACCATCATCATTAATAACAACAACACCAGGAGAGATATTGACACCATGGCGAAATAGACATCGTGGGGGTTTCTTTAGATCACGTTTAGCAAACATTCCATGTTGTAAAAGAGTTGAATCAAAAACTTCTCAAAATCGATCAAAAATACCGTACCTTCCACCAGAATATATTAATAGCACGGAAATAATGAAATTAATAAAAGTATGTAGTATTTTTCTAAATAGAGCATTGAACATCGTCATTCCTTAAATAAAGTTTGATTTAGAATAGATGAAAGGCTACGATTTTTATCATCATGTAGCCAATACTTTACTAAATCTTCATGTGGTGTATTTTACAAGTCTTTGAAAAATAGGGTCACTGTTCTCTAGTTTTCTACATAGTTCTGACACAATTTTTTTCTTCGAGTAGTGGTAAACACAGATTTTGAACCACACCGAATTTCATGTTTTCTTGAAAAACCCAGAGAAGAGCAAGTCAAATAAAAAATGGTCCAATACGAAGTCAAGTCATTAACTTTTCCTTGACAAAATGTTTTTTAGGTACCTCTATTCGACTCCTTTTAAGTCATTCCAAGAGTGTATTTTTACAATTTTTAATGTAAATAAACTTTGCAGAGTACAAGCAGATAGCATGATAACTGAATAGTCAGTGTGTTTTTATAATCAGGTATTTCTTTGTCAAGAGGCCAATGTGCGTAGTATTCAAGTTTGATGAGACAGGAAAACAAATAAAAGCTAAATGGATAGAGACGGTGCTTCTTACCTTGAGAACATTTTTTTAGGAATCTGACTTGACATGAGACTTGGATAAACCCTGGAAATGCCAATTTTTGATTTGTATGTGGACAGAACTTTAAGAAGAAGCTAGGTTCTGCTATTGTTGAGATAACCGTAATAAAATAAAGAATGAATTTAAAGTTTTTTCGACGCACAAGTATTCAAGTTATTCAAGTGATTATAAACCCTTTTTTAGTTTCGGTCAAATTTGGATATTTCATTTTGTACATTTTTGGCTATTTTCCTTAAAAACGGCTTGAAGGGCTCTAACACCACCTGAAACAACAGGGTAGGGCCAGGGCTCGAAGACCACCTGAAGCAACAGGGTAGGGTAGGGCCAGGGCTCCGGTGTCACAGGGGAGGATACCACAATTTTTCACAGGGTAGGACCAGGGCTCCAAAAACAGCTACCCTGCACATGTCTACAGGAAAATACGAAAACGTAACTTTCTTTAATAATTTCGGCTTTTTATTCACACCTTCCATCCTGTTTACGTGGCCAAACCACCTTAACCGATTTCTTCTCATTATGTTTTCGAAATTTGGTTGACCACTCAGTTCCAAAAGTTTTTCATTGGACATTCGATCGCCTAATGTTACACCAACTAATGTTCTTAGACAACCCATATAGAATGTATTTAGCCGTCTTTCTTGAGCCAGGGTCAGAGACCACACTTCACTCCCATATAACAGAACAGGTAGAATACAAGCACGAAATATACGCATTTTCGCTTCGCATGATACAGTTTTACGATACCAAATCGGCATTTGAAGCATATTGAACGCCCCAGATGCTATTGTTATTCTCGTTTCAATTTCCTTTTCTTGTGAGTGATCTCTCGTCGCGAAACACCCCAGATATGCAAAGTACTCGACTATATCAACGGTTTGATTCCTGATCGTCTGAAAACAGAGAATCTATGTTTCCATTCGTCTTCGATGTTATATAAGGTCGTCTAACAATAAGTTCAGGATGTACGAAAACATGGCATAGCTCATTGCATTTTTTGGACAAACAGCAGTTTTAAAAACCAATATTCTTCAGACTGAGCATACCATATTTTTTTATTATATTATATAGGATAAACAACGAAAATTATTTCATATAAATGATTATGATAATCCAACGAGATTAAAAGAATGTTATGTACGTTTATGTCGGAATCTGGCAGCATACAATGCAGAAATCTATGATGTCAAAGAAACACTTGGAAAAAGATCAAAACGAAAGGTTAATAAACTTCTCTTACGAGTCTTTCTTGGTCTCTGCTAGATTCTGTAAATATGACCAAGTCAGGTTAATTTGTTAAATTAATTTTTCTCTAGGCTAATCGAATATTGACAATTCGTCCCGATAAAGTTTGTCTACTAGATATTAAAACAAAAATTTTACAAAAAGAACAACGTATTGCTGACTTGGAACATTGGATAACAAGTGGTCATCATCAAAATGCTGGTACTAATGAGTTAGTATTAGAATATCGTAATAAAACAAAATGGAAATTACAATTAGCTAGTACAACTGATTTACGAGCAATAACCGTTTATCTATGGAAAATCATTAATATTGAAGGATTTGCAGCGTTAGACAAACATATACCAATTAATATTCCCATGAGATATCAACAAAAACTATCTCAACAACAGCAACAACAACAACAAAATAGTGGTAGAAAAATGACATCAATATCACCAAATATTAAATCAAATAATAAAAATCCTTATCAACAAATTAAAGACGATTATCGTACCACCTCAAGTAATAGTCTATTTTCTAAAACAATCAAGAATACTATGCGGCCAACAACAACGGAACATTTGAAAAATCTTACAAATCTCATGACAAATACAAATTCTACAACAATATCGGGACTTGTCAGAAATTCTGTCTTTCTATCATCGGATAACACTCAACAATTATGTTTTTCAGCTGATTTAGAAGAATTAAAAGATTTATTTGATTTTCCCGAAGAAGTTGCACTTCGATTAACAGAAATTGAGCATGAAATATTTTTAAGTGTACCACCATTACAATATCTTCGATATCTGACATTAGATGTTAGTCTATTGCCGCCAATATCAACTACACAAGAATTATCAACTCAGGAAAAAAGTATTCGAATATTAGTACAACGATTTCATGCCGTCGGTTCATTTATTCAACAATTAATTGTCTCACAAACGAGTTTTCATGAAAGAAAAGCCATTGTTGCTTCTATCGTTCGATGTGCAATAACATGTTGGCATTTGGGTAATTTCAATGGTGCCATGGAAATTTTAGCCGGTTTAAAGTAAGAGACACTGAATAGCTTTCTGACCTATATTTTAACTTTTTTTCTTTCTTATTTATAGAATTGAAGCATTTCGACCATTATGGTTGACTATTACAGAAGAAGTGCCTAGTTTTAAATTTTTAACCGAAGCATTTAATTCGAATGAAAAAACCGTACAATATTGTGATGCTGTTAGTCGAGCATTGGACATACCAACTTGTAAAGTTGTACCATTTTTTGGCACATTTCTAAAAGATTTACGTTCAATATTATCAAGTGTATCTAGTATCACTGTTTTATGTAACAAAAATACTCAAAAACCAATTGAAGTAAGTTTGACAAGTCATAGAATAATATCTATTTTAGATTTGTAATAAATTTAGAATGTTGCTGATTTTCAAAATCAAGAACATTTTTTAACACGAATTGGCGTTGGTGGTCTAATTAATACACGAAAAATAGAATTAGTTCATATGGTATTAAAAGATGTCGCGGTATTTCATAATTGTCATCGGCGACAGCCATTATTTAAATGTTGTAATGATTTTAATCGAATAAAAACCGTGTTTCAAGGTACTGGAACGGATTTAAAAGAAAAACATTCAGCAACAGTAACAACAACAGAAGGAATAGCAGAAAATAGGTCAGTAAGAATAGTTGTTATCTAATTGATAAAAAAAGGGAGTTACAAACTTGATTTAGAAAAGTTTGGATATGCGCTCCGACACTAGCTGCCTTATTTCTGACCTATAATATCAGTTTCTCAACTAATCGATGCTTCAGAATAAATGAACAAATCAAGATTTTTACTTAACTTTCATCTCGAACCTAATTCAACTACAAGACGTCTTGCACATCTCACTATAAAAATATGTCACATAATTTAACAGTGAAGTTGCATAAAAAAGGCTCAGCAATTATCCCAAAATGGTCAACTTTCCATTATCTTTTGAGCAAATAAAAATTTTTCTTCTCAAATAAAAGGCTGTAAGAAAATGACTCTTCTAATACCATCGTGTGCATTTTTCCTTCTTGTCGGCTTGTCCAAGCGTGACGTTGTGACATTTTTGGCACAGTAATTTGAGCTTTTCTCAAAAAATGTAAGAGCTAGAAACTTCGTTCTTGCTTACGCAGCTCGCCATACTCTACTTTTGGTATAAAAATGAAGGTATGTGGTTAAAGACTCGAATTTTTAGAACCGTTTTTCGATGCGTGACGCTGTGACAAAAAAAGGCCCTAAATTCGAAGTGCTTCTCATTAAAAGCTAATTTGCTGTGAATTTAGAAGAGCTAATAAAAAGTGCCTCGAGCAAAGTTTGTAGAGGAGTAAACGAGCTACTGATTGCTAAAAAAGAATCTTTCCAAAGAGCTTTCGATCCCTCAATAATTGTATTTTATCGTCGTGACGCTGTGACACTCGTTTTTCCCAACAAAGTTTGGAGCACTAAACATTGCTCAAAGGATTTCATTTTCACATCAGACTTAGTTTTAGGCATCTGATATAGACTAAGATGAAAATAAAGCTGAAAAAATGTTTTCACTTTCTTAGAATTGTGTGAGAATCTTAAAACTTAACACTTTATTAAAAAGCTTGTTTTAAGCCTAAACTTTAAACGAAACATACCATCTTGGAGATAATCGAATTCTCTATCGATTAGTCTGGCCTTCTATTTTTATTAGAAAAAGTATCTAGGTGAGGAAATTGAAAATATAGTTTTCAAAAAATATAAAACTGAATTTTTGATGCAAAAATTTAACTTTTTAAAAAAACTAATGTGAGATTCGTAATCAGCGTCAAAAACTGCATCTAGTGATATGCTCCTCTCAGTTCTACTCTAACATAATTTTTTCAAAAACTTGATCAGCAACGTCTCGAGTTACGTGAACAAGCCATTGTGTATAATGCAATTCCTTAAAATCTCGTTCTACAGCATGAAGAGATCATCTACTAACTTTACTCTTTGACGCTTATCACCAATCTTTGATACTTTCTACACTTTTATTCAGAATACTCCTATCTTAAATAAGATATCCTAAATATTGAAAGATTCATTTATTTTGAATTATTCATTATTTGAATAGAACCCATCAACAGCAACAGCAACAGCAATATAGATCTAATCGTCATCAATCATTTCCATGTACAAATAGTTACGGTGATATTGATCATAATCGTGTACCAAACATTGCCATCAAAGTAATATGTGATAATGATAATAATAAGCAAACAAATCAAACAAATGTTGCATTATCATATCGAACAACACTCGATTTATATGAACCAGAAACACTCTATTGTTTAAACGTTTCATTTTATCAACCCATTATGAATCAAAAACATAATCATGAAGTATCACTTTTATCGTTACATCATATTATCGATTTTAATAATTTACAAACATTACGGTATATTTAATAAATTTGTTTTCTATTTCTATAGATAAATTTTTTCTTTTTTTTCTTCTTTTCTAGACATGGTACCACATTAATATTATACGATGAAGAATCAATGCATTCATGTTTAGTTTCTGTTCGATTAGAATTAGATAATTGTACATTAACATGGACTAAACCATCTTGGGATACACATCATAGTGTAGAAAATATTAATCCACAAAATCATATAACAAATGATGGTATACATTTTTCATTATTAATGAAACGTTATATTTTAAGAGATATTGCTTGTGTTGATATGGAAGAATCTTATCCATCATCAGGATTTTTACAATTAAAATATGTTAAACATATTCGATCTGGTATACTTAATTGTGATCTTGTCTCAGTTATTAAACGACATAAATTAAATGATATAACAAATCAAGAAAATTGTTTTACAATTATTTATGGATCAACAATTAATGAAAATAAGTATGTTATCTCTCTCTCTCTCTATATATATATATAGAAATACAAAATAGAATGAATAAAATATATTTTATATTTCAGAAATTTATGTTTTATTAGTCCAAAACATTGTTCTCAAATATGGTATTCAAGTATTGAAAAATTATTATTTCAATATCGTCGTCATCGTCTATGTTCAGATCGTCGTATTCAATGGTTAAAAATTCAATATTTATCATCATATTATGAAAATGAACGATTTCAAGGTCCAACACCAATGGAAGCTATTTTAGCTTTTGGTGGTCGTCAATGGAATTCAAATTCACTATTTTTATTTGAACGTGGTGATCATCCTGGTGCTACAAAAAAAATGAGCACAATGAAATCATTATCAAATTTAGGTTTAAGAAAGAAAAATAATAATAGAACTGAACAATTAATTAAATCAAGTTATTCAACTGAATCTGATCCAACAATAACATCTACATGGCGACATAATAATTCAATGGCTACTCATAATAAATCAAAAACACTTGATTATAAAACAAAATCATCTATTTTAGGAGCAGCATTTAAACCTCGCTATTTTCATCAACAATACTCATCAAGTCCAAAACATCGTAATAATAAAATAATAAATCCAATTAGTGCTTTAACAACAAGTGTTGTTGGAAGACGAAGTGGTGGACGAATTCCATTAACAAATCAATTGGGTAATGATGGTAATACATCACCATGGATTATTAATGAAACATATATGGATTTTGCTGAATTTGTTGAATTATTTAAATCATTTTATTTTCATTGTCGACGTGATTTAAAAGATTTATTTGATAAATTTTCATGTCATTTAAATATTGATCAAGATTTTACAATTAAAGAACAATATAAACATGATTTAATTGATGTACCAAGACATTTATCCGGTTTAATTACACGAAATATTGTTGATGATATAACGGATCAAAATATTCATCGTATTTATGATATGATTGCCATATCATCTATACCATGTTATGCTATTAGCACCGATAGTAAAGCAAATCATTTAATAACAAAAGAACAATTTAACGAATTTTTAATTGAACATCAAAAAGAAACAAAAACAATTTATGAAATTGAACAAATTATATTGGTATAAATTATCAATGGATAATCATTACTATGATACATTTATTGTTCCTTTCTTTTTTCCTAGCGTCATGAACCAAATAAACAAAATCGTATTAATAAAGTGTTCTCATTTGAAGGATTTGCCAAATATTTAATGGATAAAGAAAATTATGCATTTATTAATGAACATACAAAAGTGAATGAACAAGTAAAATATTTTAATATTTTTTTGACTAGAATAATTATTCTATGATATATTATTGTAGGAAATGGATAATCCATTATCATACTATTTTATTGCTTCATCACATAACACCTATTTAACTGGTATGAAATCCGAGAATTGTATCGATATTATTTTAAACATAAAATGAATGATTTTATTTTGTTTATTCTTTTTTGTATAGGACATCAATTACGTGGTGAATCATCAATTGAAATGTATAGAGAAGTAAAAAGAAAAATAATTCTATATTAAATATATTTTATTTTCTAATTCATAATTTTTTTAAAATTCTATTAGGTATTACTTTCTGGATGTCGTTGTATTGAACTTGATTGTTGGGATGGCGAAGATGGATCACCAGTGATTTATCATGGTCGTACATTTGTTAGTAAAATATCATTTAAAGTAAGATATATATATATATCAATTTATAGTACAAGATTATTTAAAAGATACATGGTTTTATTTTCAGTGTGTTGTGGAAGTTATTAATGAAAGTGCATTTGTTACATCTCATTATCCTGTTATATTATCAATAGAAAATCGATGTTCACTTATTCAACAAGGACGAATGGCACAAATATTTTTGGTAAGATATAATTTTTTTTATAAATTATTTATTATTATAAAATAAAAATATTATTTTTTAAGAGTATATTTGGTGATAAATTGGTAACAAAACATATGTTTGATACAGATTTTTTTGAAGATCCAATGTTACCATCACCAAATCAATTAAAAGATAAAATTTTAATTAAAAATAAAAAAATAAATAAAATGCATTCGACAACACAATTAAGTAAACAAAAAGTACAATTAGCCGTAAATCCATATCGAAGTTCAAGTGGTGCAGATGATATTGATATAGATGATGATGATGAAGATGATGATGAAGAGTATCAAGACGAAATGTTTGAGATAATGAGAAGTAATTCAATGACAGATTCACCAATGTATGGTTTGAAGAAAGGTGCTGATGGATCAGAATTAGATGAGTAAGAGAATTTTATTTTTTCTTTAAATCAAAAAAATAGTTTGTCTAATGTATATTTTATTATTTATTTAGTCAATATAGTCGTCGACATAGTATATTAACATCAGCAGATTCAACAATCCGACAACGTTTAAAAAGCAGTACTAGCAGTGATAATCAAAAGAAACCAATAGTTAAAACATTAGTAGCTAAAGAATTATCGGACATTGTTATTTATACGCAAGCAGTAAAATTTCGTGGTATGTACATGAGAAAGAATAATATAAAAATATCAAATTGACTTAAATCTCTTTATTTTAAATAAAAGGTTTAAATTATTCATCAAATATCAATTCCGTTTGTCTCGTTAGAAATGTTGTACGAAAAGCACCTAGACGTCAATTACAACAAGGATTAGTAGCTCAACCAAGTATAAGTAGTTCTGGTAATACATTCATCATTCATTTTTCATTTTTATTCACTTTGTTTGTATAATTTATTCCTTTCATGATCATATCACACAAATGTTTATACTATTCTCATTTACAAAGTTGAATGCGCGTAGCCCGTGTCGAGGAAAATGTTCTTGAAGAAAATCACTGATCAAAAATTGTTTATGATATTTAAGGTACTGAAAGTTCTCGTTCAATTGATCAAGTTGCACCATGTCATCAAATTGTTTCATTAATCGAAAATAAAGCTAAAAAATTGTGTAAAAATCAAGCAATGGATATGATTACGTGAGTTAATTCTTCATTTATGTTTTGTATATTAACTATATTTGCTGTCATATTCCATATTCTTCTTTTAGTCATACAGAAAGTCAATTAATACGATGTTATCCGAGTGGATTTCGAGTTGATTCATCAAATTTTAATCCTTTAAGTTTATGGGCATGTGGAATTCAATTAGCAGCAACAAATTATCAAACTGTGGGTAAGTATAGATAACTCGTTGTTGTCATCATTTATATATTGTGTTTTTCAAAAATATATTATTCACAGAAAATTTAAAAAGACAATTATCATTATTATTGTTATGTTGTTGTCCTTGCATGTATTTTATCGTGTGTAATGCATTACTATTATTGTGTGCTTCTGCTTTGATATGGGTGAGTTTTATTCAACATTTTGCTATTTGTGTGTATCGTGAATTTATTTTATTTTTCATTTTTATAAGTTAAGAAACAAACGCATCATCATTGACTTGTCATAATTCCTTAAAATCAACTTATTCACGATTTCTGAATGTAATGATTCTAGATCAACACGAACTTGTGAAAAAGAAAAAATATTTTAATTGAATAGATTGACGATAGCATTTAAAAGGAATAATTATATGTTGTTGTTATTGTTATTGTTAGATTAGTATAATTTTGGGCTTGTAAATATTTGAGATTAAAGGTTCTATCGTCTTCTCTGGACACAGTAGTATTGAGAAATGAATAGATTTTTAATGCCTTTGTCTGTAGACTATCAATAATTCATAATCAATAACGAAAACATCTTCAAAGTATTTTTATTTTCTTTCTACAAGATGCTGGTCAAATACTCAATTTAGCCATGTTTGAACAAAATGGACTATGTGGTTATGTGTTGAAACCAAATGTTTTCTGGGATAAAGATCATCCACAATATGGACGATTTAATCCGTGTTCAATGGAACGTGAAGGTAATAAAAATCTTGTCAAAACACTTAAAATACAAAATTTTTTGGAGATGTACTGTGTCACAAAGAATTAACTGGTTAGGAGATTACCAGGAAAGATTAAATAAAGGTTAACACAAAATGTTCTATGCTATTTATCCTTACTATAAACTACAACTGCTCTATACCTTTGAGATAATAGGTGAAATGTTTCATAAAAATGGATTGCTTTAAACAAAACATAATGAAACTTTTTCATTCATTTTAGGTGCTTGTTTTGAATTAACATTAACTGTACGTATTCGTTGAGTTTTATCTATTCGACGTTTAATCTTCTGAATTTTATTATCTCTTTCATAGATCATATCTGCTCAGTATTTAACCCAGAATACGGGCTCAAATACGAGCGTATACATTGAATTAGAAGTAATTGGCATACCAATCGATTGTATGTCTCGTAAAACAAAACCAAGTGTCAAAAATTCGTTAAATCCAATATGGCAAGAAACATTTATCTTCCAAGTATACATTTTTTCCATACAAACAATTCGAATTACAAAAAAACACATCATATTTCTTTTTTTTGTTTGTTTCTTAGGTGTTTTTTACTGATCTGGCTTTCATACGATTTCATATTTATGATGCAAGTAGTAATCATTTAGTTGCACAGCGTGTAATACCATTAAAATGTTTGCGTCCCGGTTATCGTCATGTTCGATTAAGAGATATACAAAATGTTCCATTTGATTTATCAACAATATTCATCTATTCAAAATTAATCGAAACAATTGTAATTCGACCAGCCGAACAAGATCATACTACATCAAATACACCACATATGTTTCGAAATCGTCTACTACGACGAATTGAACAAGAAACAACTACAGGAGTAGGTGTTTATATTATTCATGTATGAATGTTAAAATTAAGAGAGATTATATTTCTCTTTCTAGATGAGTCGTGAATCAATAAGACCAAAACATAAAACATTTGAAGTGAAAGTTTATGGTAAAGAGAGTCGTGACGAAGATTTTAGAATATTTGCTGTAACACAATATACAACTGTTGAAGAACTATTAGAATTGGTAATTATTTTAAATTAATTCTTTAATAAAATTTAAATTATGCTATTTTTATAGATATCCAAATGTACAGAATTTTTTAAAGTTGGTGATACAATAAATGATTTTATGCTAATTGAATCATCAAAAACATGGAAAAAAAAATCAAAAGATACTCATCAACGTGTATTAGGAGAACATGAACGTATATTAGAAGTAATTGATCGTGTAGGTAGAGAGACAATTATTTTGTGTAAGAAAAAGTCAACATCAGATGTATGTATAATAAATTGATAATTGAATATCATCATTTGTTTGCATTCTTTTCTTAATACCTATAGAAACAGACATTAGCAACATTAATCGATCAAAATATTCATAATTGGGAAAATTGTGATAGAACATTTTTGATAACAATTTATAATATTTCACAGTTACAAAAACATACCACATTTAGAACTCCAATATCATCGACAGCTATTCATGTGATTACACAGGTATATTTAGTTTTTTTTTCCCACTAATATATACTTCTTATTAGCAACATTCCTTTAATTATTTATTTAGTTGATGACAAAAACTCGTAGTATGCCTGGCTTACCGCAAGATTATGGTTTAATCGAAGAAACAGACTTGAATATAAGTACAAAACCAACAACAAACAATGCTACACGTCGAATTCCATTGAAACGAAGATTATTAAATGATGATGAAAAAATTTATGATATACAACGATTATGGAATTCTGGTCATTCAAAATTTGTTCTATGTAAAAAAGTAGAGGTAATAATATTTGTTTATTTTTTAGTATAATGAAAAATAGTTAATGATATAACTTTCTTGTTTTCTATAGTATTCTGCTGAAACAAACAATAATCGACCATTTACAGATAAATTTCTTATGAGATCATTAACGAGACAAAAAACAATGGACTGCGATTCTCATGAAGGTATATTTAGTTTTCAGTTTAGTTATAGACCAATGTTGATTATTGTCTTTTTTGTTTTTTAGATCTACATTTAGATCAGCCACATTCCATTCCAATGTCATCGACTTTAACAAATGGAATCTCACGTAGAATTCCATTGACACAACGTTCTATCAAAAATATGCTATCAGTTAAATCCTGATATTTGTTTGAAACAGAATAGGAAAACAAGTCAGTTATCTAAATTGTCCATTTTTAATCATTCAAGTGCTTGTCTTTCACATATACTAACTTGTTTAAAACATATATGTCAAAGAAACGAAAAATGTATGTTACTTGTGACCAACTTTTGAGCAAAATTCATTACAAAAAAAAACCTACTGACAAAAAGGATAAAAAGTGAATGAAATGTGGAGAGTTTAAAAGCATGATGATATCGACGTCTAGTTATTGCCTTACTTATTTTGTGTTAATGCGTGTTTTCCTTCTTGTTGTCTACTCTTCTTGTCCGGACAACACGCACACATTGTTATTCTAAATTTAGTTTTTTTGTTAAATCTGTTGATTTTTTTGTTTTTGGATAAAGTTAGGTGACTTTTATTTCTTCTTCTGTACATGTGCGTATGTGCGTGTGCACGTGTGTGTGTGTGTGTGTATGTGTGTTTTATTATCCGGTAACTCATTATTGGTTTAGCTGTTATGTTTTTTAATCTGTAAATAATGGCCAGAATGATATTAATCAGTCTGTTGCTTGTGTTTTTCTAAACTATTATTTTTTTGCTACATGGAAAAAAAAGAGATGAATAAATGGAAATATATACTAAAAATTCAATCGAGTGATACGTGATTAATTTTCATTGTTAAAACTATTAGATTACAAATCAATTTGTGATCTGATGTGTGCTATACTTTTAAATCAAAGCAATCAAGTCTAATTAGTCAGAAATTTCAAACATATCTAGAAAAAATTTGTCCAATTATTTTTTCCTATAAAAATAAAAATCATAATATAGCATTATTGTTTTCAGTAAATTGCAGAAAAGCGAGAGACAAAGACAAATGTAATCCACATAGGCATAATTTAGGAATAAAACACATGTAAAGGAGAAGCAGTAAAGAATAAAAATTAGTTTATATTATTTTCGACCATTAATCATTGAAGGTGGTTGTCGATTACCAATACTGGCACCCTTAATTCGCTCCAGTTTCTCCGACAAATCTTCCACTCGAATATCTTTTAAATGTAATAAATGTTCAAGTCTACGTATTTTAGCTTGCAAAATCTTCAAAACAAAATTAAAAAAAATCCCATAGTGATTAAAATTTAATTTTAAAGGATATTTATCTTTTACTTGTATTTGTTCATCTTTTGCCATACATTCTTGTTCTTTTTCGTCAAACTCAATTCGGCTTACAACATCACCACTCAGATTGTGCATGGAAGTCGTTTTTCTACCTGGTCTATGGAGAATATTGAGAAACCATTTATAACAATTTCCTACAGTCTTCAACCTAAAAAAGAAGGCTTACCCTTGTGGTTTTAGTCGCTGTGGACCACTTCCTGTTATCAGAAGAAAACAGAATAATTCAAAAACGAAAATATGCAGAAATCGACATCAACCATAGCTCTGCGTAAAATTTCGTAACAAAAATGACAAACTTTGTAATTTTTATAGTAAAATTCATTCTGGTTACATATGTCTAGAAATCTATTTCAGATACGTCGACCTCTCTTTTCTAGTGTCGTACTACAAGACAGTTTAGGACAAAATTTGTATCTGCACGAAACGTATAAAACGAAAGTTAACTCTAAGAAAATATTCTGATAACTCACTGACATATTGTGAGATATTCTGGCTCTGTTCATCCATTTCTGGTGGTGTATAATTTTGTCTCGGTGTTATCATGGCATTTGCGTGTTCGCTAGTTTTGGCTTTTTGGTGTAGAACTCTAAAAGATGATGTGATAAAAAAAATGATATACCCGTGTATAGTCAAAGTGCAAAACAAACATATCACAGTTGTGTGCACACACATAAACACACAAAAAAAAAGAACTCTAGAGCGTTTAAGTTAAAAAAATGAACCTGTAAACAGAACAATGGTCACACAGAAAAGAAACGGTTAGTTCAAAGTTTTGGTAACAAGCACAACTTAAACAGCAGGATTTTTACAACTTTATGTATCCACTCTTATGTAGTTTGGTAAAAGTTCCGGATGAATTGAAGAAAAAGGAGAAGTGGCTAAAACGCATATTCAAACTCTTATGTTGTTAAATCCACTCAATCTGATAAAGAAAAGAAAAACAAAATTTTACCGATATTGTGGATCACTCGGATTCGTTTCCATTCCATAAAGATAACTATGATAGTAAATACATAAAAGAAAATCTCATCCGACGATACAAAAAGTTATAAGTACATTCCTTCTACTCAATAAATTATCGTTTGTTATTTATCTTAGGACTGATTGTCTCTCAGCTGGTACTGTTATTGTTCTCAGTTTAAAAAACATATCATATGAATGTAACATACTCATCAATTTTTGTTCTTAAATTGTACAAAAATACTTCGACTAAACCACTTCTACCTAAACAGATGCCACGCATAACAGGCTCTGGTACATTGAGATTAAATCGACATAAAATTTTTCTAAATATAAAAGTAATAGATTCGTTAAAATATACTAATAGATGAGTTGATATAATTACCTGTTCAAAAGTCCCCAATTAATTAATTTTTGTTGTGTACTGTTGGCTGGTGCATAATTGTGAAGATCAACCCACGATGGAAAATAATATTTGATCAGTTCAGCTACCATTACTAAAAATAAAAATAAGAAAATAAGTGTGTGTATTTATGTACGCATAAAAACATAAAAACATCGTGTTAGAAATTAGAAGAACACAAGTGAAAAACAAGAGAAAAATACACTAAATACCCCCATCCGCGAAATCTTTTTCAATTCGTTTTTTAGGTCTACTCAATGGGATTTGGTCCAACCAGGCGTATAAATCCTGTAGCAACTGATCGTCCAATTCCATATCCCATGACATTTTTGTAACTGTTTTTTTTTAACGAACGTAATCAGAACAAACAAAAAACAACATTAAACAATCTTGCTTTAAAGTAATTTTAGCCAAAAGAGTAAAGCAGAACAAATCTGAAAGAAGAACATAAATAAATATAAGAGATATTCGGCAAAAAACATGTTCATGCATCATGCAATAAAACAAAAGATTCGTAGAGCTAAAAAACACAAAATAGCAAGAAACACGCACGTCCATCTGAGAAATCACGTTCAATACGTGTTTTTGTTCTTGAAAACGGTAAACGATCAATCCATTGAAATAAGGCGATTCTTTGACCGTCATCGAAACGGTACTTCCAGTCAATTAACATCTAAAGTATCTATAGGTTTAGAATTTGACGAAAACAAACGGTAATAAAATATCAGAGTAAGAGAATAGTCTTTACGCAAGAAGTAAGTGTTATAAAAAACTGGAGAGCAATTTTCTTCCATCCTCTCTGGAAAAACAGCGCTGCTCTAACGACACCATTAAGCCAAGAAACATCTCGTTATATCAACACACATTCTTTAATTAATACAAAACAGACAGAATATTGTTCGCAGATTACCATAGTCTACAAATAGGTTGGAAAAGTTCGCAACAGTGCATTGGATCATGGCTTCTCTTGATCTTAAGATTACGGTATTCATTACAATCAGTATCCCCAGTAGTGTGAAGACTGCCCATGTCTTCAATAGCGACAAAATCTCTCGCAATTTTGACTACCGTTCTTCTGGCTCTTCACTTGTGTCTCAATTGTCTCTTTCAAATCGGCACGGTCAGATAACTCTGCTACTGGAGTGAAATTCTGTGACGAAATTTTGACATTTTGCTATGTTTACATTTTTAACGAAAATACGTGCAGTGCTGTGGAACGTTTGGAATGGTAAAGAACATAAAAAAACACTTCTCTACAAAATGATGCATCTCGGAGCTCTATACGTTTCTTTAGTTAAACGATAAACGGTAAATACTAAAGGCTACTTTGCCAAAATGAAGCCTGAGAAGGGCCGCTTAGTATTTACCGTTTATCGTTTAACTAAAGACACGTATAGAGCTCCGAGATGCATCATTTTGTAGAAAAATGTTTGCTTTACAATTCTAGACATTCCACAGCATTGCACGTGTTTTCGTTAAAAATGTAAATATAGCAAAATGTCAAAATTTCATCACAGAATTTCACTCCAGCGGTAGAGTTATCTTGCCGTGCCGAAATCTGTCACTTCGTCGTAAATATTTTCAGCTAGTACAGTTTTTCACGATTTATCATTGTCTTAGTCTTTTTTCATTTTTTTTTATCATGTTCACCGTCCTTATTCTTCTTCTTTACGTTTTCAGCATTGAAATATGTGCGTATCCTACTTCCTGTAAATGTTTTTTCTCCACAAACAGTTTCTTCTTCCTTCTTTCATTCAACTGTCAGTGACTGGAATAGTCTTCTGAAGTCAGTCATTCGTTCTTCTTTATTGCCATTTAAAATAGCTTTATCTCAGCATCTTTACAGTTGATCGTAGCCATATTTACAGTTAAAAATAAATCCAATGCTGCCTAGTTGAAAGACGTCTTACAAGATTTTATAGATCTGATGATGTCTTATGCAATCTTGCTACAAGATATGTTGGCAAATCCTTGTAAGATCTTATCTCAAGATCATGTATGATCTTGCGGAATCTTGTAACTTTCTGTAAGATCTTACAAGATCAGCTTATAAGAAATGTTAAAATCTTGTAACAAGAAACCATATGATCTTGCCAGTAAGAGAGTATACTCATATTAAGTTCTTATCACAAGATCATACGATTTCTTGTTATAAGATTTTACAAGAAGTGATGATTCATTCTTATCGTATATAGTATATATAACATAGTTCTTATCACAAACCTTAGAATTTTTTTCTTCAACTTCACAAATCAGCTGAACACAAATAAAGTACATGGCTATAAGAAACATGGTTAGACACATTCCTAAGGACGTCAGAGTCCTTGCTATGCTCGAAAATAAAAACATTCTTTTTAAAGAGAGTTTAGTGGGAATCTATAGGACAGAACTAGATACATAATCTTGTAAGGTCTGATGAATTTTTATATGATCTTATGAAATTTTTCAAGATCTTGTCACTTCTTGCACTATCACAAGGTTTTGCAAGATCCTACGGAACCTTGTGAAATCTTATGGTATCTTGTAATATGATCTTACAAGATCTTGTATGACCCTACAAGATCATATTTCAAGATTCTTCGCCCTGGGTGTTACTCTTTATCTTATTTTTGTTTTTTTTCTTCTTATTTTTTTTTTCTTATCTCTCTGTTTCGTACACTAGTTTACTTCTTTTTTATTTTATTTCTCTGTTTATAGTTTCTTCTGTTGTTGTTTGGCTCGAGTCATTATTATTAAAGGGCGGGGGCCTTTAATAACTCTCACTTTTCCTGAATCAATACTGCTACTACTAACTACTGCTGATATACCGTTCGGTAAATTGTCGTCTAAAAGAAAAATCCGTAACTAGGTCAAAGTTCATGTACTACGATGAGTTGGTGAGAGAAAAGTTAGAAATCTCTTAATTTTTTGCCGTTATTATATATTGGTCTAACGATCAAAAGCAAAAGGTGAATAACTTTGAAACAGTGTGTCAAACGGTATTCTTCGCACTAATATGTAGAGAATACCGAGAGATTTTAGATTGTACCACGGTAATCGACGATATTAAACAAAATAGCTTGACATGGGTATTAAACTTTTGCGTAAGTTTTTTCTTTCAAAAACACTTGATTACAATCTACATACTTTCAATATGATAATCATTTCCTCAATCACCTGGCCCAGAAGGAACTAACACGTGAAAAGATTAACTAGTCAATTTTTTATTGACGTATTATTTAGGTATAAATTCTAATGTACTTAAGTTTCTCGATCAATTCATCCGCGACCTCAAAATTGAGATTAACATCATCTTCAGCGGCTGAAAATCGTCAAAATAACTTTTTCATCTGTCATTTAATATGACTACACGAGTATATATTTGAATTTTAAAAATACTATGTAACCGACAGTGAATGCGCAAAAATATTTAGTGAAGGACAACGTCCTTCGCTCCTACCGGTTGCATCATCCATGGGGAAATTTTAGTAAATAAAAGGACGAATACACTCTATTCAGAAAAAATTTTTCGCACGTGGTCACTAGTGGAAGTCATAAAATGGTGTATAGACACATATGAAAAGAAATTCTCGCTTGTGAAATTTTAGAGAGTTCGCACGTGACCACGCATTTCACGTTACAATCACGCGGACGTCGTCAAACTTTTACAAAATTTCCCCGCGGGCACTAGGCTACTCATTGACTGTCTACAACTGTGCTTTTTCCTCACTGTTACTAAAAATTAGTTAAATATTGTTTTCCTTTCAATTAAATTTAACGCTTCTAGTAGCATAATCCGTTTTACAGAAAAATAGTCCAGCTGCCATATTTTCCTTGGTTGTCATCGAAACGATATGCAAAAGTGTATGATTCTTTTTCATGATACTTTGGTCAAAATGTTTAACTCAGAAATGCAGTTGGTGCGTAGATGTTATTCATTTGCTGAAATCTATACGAAAATTTGTTAGGAAACGATTGAAATCGAAATATGGATGACCGTTGGTAAAGAGTTGTCAAGGTTCTATTTTTCAGAAGAATTTGTGGTTTTATGTAGAAAAATTTCCAGATGGTTTCCTTTTCTGTTTAGAATTTTTCGATTTTAAGATAAGCTAAAGCGTTTTATGTTGCCAAAGTAAAATTTGTATAATAATTGACCTTGATGTAAAGTGACATTCACATTCATATCTATTCTAATCTTGGTTTCTTGCACATCTGATTGGTGTTTTAGTTTTGAAAATTCATGCATACCGGTCAAATTTGCAGAAAAAAGACAGATTAAGAGGAGTTGCACATCTGAACGTAGCCTTAACTTCTCAACTTGATTGGGAGTATGATCTAATTTTGTTTTGTTTCTTGTCTATTTTCATATACTTTGTACATAAAAGACATTAATACAATGCATCGTTGATAGAAAGAAATAGATAAGATGATAAACAATTTTATTTGAACAGTAAAATACAATAATAATAATGCCGTCAACAATGAATAATAGTGCTCGTAATGAACGAAAACGTCCCATATCACAAAGGACCTCATTACCACCAGCTAAACGTTTCTCTACAATAACCAGTTCATCTTGCTCATTGTCGCGTCAGCAAACACGATCGAATGATCGAAAAATTGCGACGCCAAAAAGTACACCGACTTCAAAAGAAAATAGTCGAAAGCAAACACCATTATCACCCAGTTATCTTCGTCGATCAGAACGATGTGAATCTTCGTCATCCTCTTCTGTTCATTCGACAGAGAAAACAAAATATTCGTCGTCATTGCCGTCATCATCTCACGATCGTTATCCAAAATCGAACTCGAAATTGGACAATAGATTGAGTCGAAATTCTCGTCGAAGAGCATCCAGATCCTCTTCTTCATCGAGATCCTCGTCATTAGAAAGACGAGATCGAACAGTACGAAATGCAACAGCACAGAAAACAACAATCGAAATAAAAAATGGAGATGATGATTTTTCTTCATTACCGATGTCAAAAGATACGTGTGCGACTCGATCATCAACATTAAGGCCGTTAAATGATTTACAAAAACAACCGTCGTCCATGAACGAAATCAAGGCTATACCGGCAACGAAAACAGACATACCAATAGCAGGTACGATTTGTTAATCCTATTTTCAAGTTCTATATATATATCATAAATACTTTAGTTTAGTAGAAATGATTGTAATCAATTTATACAAGAAATATATTGGTGATAATGCAAAAGACGAAAATCTTTTGCAAAGAACTGATGGAGACACAATTTCTTTTGATCTCAATATTTTCTGCGAATTGATTGTTCTTTGTCAGAGGACAGCTAAATTGTAACCGATAGAATGCGCTTCTATTTAAGATTATATTAGTATATATAAATTTATTTGGACACAAAAGTTCTTTGAGATATTTTTTGTTTATATTCTTAGAAAAGACAAAACTTTTTCGGCAAAAGTATCGGAATTTTTTCTCTCTCAAATTCTGATTAATATAAACTTAGAAATTTTATCTTTATATGTTTAGTGTCAAGTGAAAACAATAGTAAAAAGATCATTGCTATTGATAAACCATATAAGAAACCAACGACTCAATTACCAAGTCAAACACACCAGCCTGTCGAAGCGAAAAATCCGTTTAATGTTGCAGTTTTATCGCCATCAGCTCAAACAATCACACAAAAAAAAGAAGAAAAATCATCTCGTTTAGGAACATTATCCAAACCTTCAACAATAAAAACACAGGAGAGAAAGATCGTACTGACACAAACATCTGTAAAAGAACAAAATGGCACTAAAATAACTCTGTCTGAATTAAAATGTAACAAATCTTCAGATGATAAAGACAAAACGATCACAATGACTAGTGCTGTTAAAGAGAAAAAAAATGAGAATAGCAAAATCTATCATGGTCTAGTTGATTACCCAGATGAAAGTGAGGATGAAACTGATAAACATAAGCATCAAAGACAGGTATTTGTTTGTTGATTAAATCCAATACACCTTATGTTTAACGCATCTTTGTCTTTTGTTTAGTGCGAGAAACAAGGAGATAAACCGATCTCAACCGACTGTAACAACAATAATGATTTATTAAAAAAACGTTCAACCGACAATGTTATCATACAACCACCTAATACAAATATTGACGATAAAAAATTACCAAAAAAAGTCAATCTCAAAGTATTAAAACTGGTTTCTCAAACAGCTTCAGTTACTACACCAACAGTAATAACAGCAAATAATATCAAAATGTTGTCAAGTGATAATTTGTTTTCATCAGCACTACGTGTGCCAACAAAAATTAAATTAACAAAAACAATTGAGCAACAAGAAGACAAGAAACCTAATAACAGCAACAATGCAGTTATATTTGAACGGAAAAAATCGATATCCTATGCATCACCCGATTTATTGAGTGATACAAGTTTAAATACAACGTATGAATGTGAAAAAGAAGAATGTTTATCGATAAAAAAGGATGAAAATCATTTTAAACCAGATGCCTTAGACGAATCCTTGTCGATTGTAAGTGATACAGTATCATTAACATCTGTCAGTATTCCACAAACTAAACTAAAAATTACTCAACAAGAAGAAAATAATGAACAAATACCACTTTCTCCACCTTCCAGTATTAAATCACCATTAATTAAGAACGAATACAATACTCAGACATACGCTTACGAAAAATCCGATGAAGCTCAAGGTAATTGAATTCTGTTATTTCTATACAATCTATATAATAGCATTATTAAGCATAATGTTATTCTTGCTACTTCTCTCGATGATCTTCTGATTTTGTTCAGTTGTACCCGCTCCTACAACTGCTCCATCTAGCTTCATTCTAACAATATTTTTACTACTTAGTTTTTTATTATTTAGATTTAAATATATCAAATGTTGAGCAAGAAGCAGAGAAAATATCCTCAATTGCTGTCACTTCACCTCAAGTCGTAGATGATAAACCACAAGATAATTTTCACATTCCACCAACAATAGAACTATCACCAAATTCATTGTCGTCATCTCCTGATTTATCTTCAAACTCATTTAGTGATGATGAAAAGAAAGCAATGAATTCGTACAAGCGTCGTTATCGTTCATTATCATCATCTTTAGCTGCCTGTTTCGATTGTCGTCCATCTTTATCATCCACAACTCCGGTAAAATCGAAATCTTTAACACGAATAAAACCACTGCCATCATCAACAATGCTCAGTGCTAAGCAAGATGAGATAGTGTGCGAGAATAACCAACAAGAACCACAGTTAGAACGAAAACTCACAATAGAAAAACAGTTAAATAAAACGAAGGTGTCAAATGGTAGAATAATAAAAATAACAAAACGACAATATAAAAAGAGACAGTCAGCTGTATCACGGATACAGCAACAAACACAACCGATTGAAGATGATGAAGAAAGATCCGCGATTATTAAAGCTGTAATGGATCAATTAATACGGTAAAAAAAACATGTTCATTCATTGTCTTGATCGGAGAACAAACTACGATGTATGGTAACATCTGGTTTAAGATAAACAGACCCATTCCTCTAATTATTCTCTTTTCTTTTCTTTCATCGTAATATTTCTCTATAGCTCTACGGAAATGGAAATGGTGAATTTTTTGCTAATGGCAAAACGTTCTACAGCGACTGATCGAAATCAACTAGTAACATCCTATTGTGAATACTCAAGTAAACCGTTATCATTAAATGTAGAACAACCACCAATTTTTAACACTACATTATTATCGACATTGTCAACTTCTAATAAACAGTTATCTCTGGAAGAAAACAAATCACTTGAATTTTCATCAACCACTGTAAAAAACACAATCAATTGTAATGGTACGGTTTATTCTGGAAAGTAATATGTTCATGTTGTCATGTTCTATTTTTACAGAGAATGTTGAAATGACGAAAGTTGCACAATGTAACCATGAGTGTCCAATAAATTGTTATCAGCATCATGCTGTTGCATCATCGCCACTTGTACAAGAAGATATTGCAGTTTCGAGTGGTAATGTTTGAATTTCACATATTTGTATCTTCTAGTCTAATCAGATCTTTGACTGATAAGTTGGAGAATCGAAATGTAGCCTTTGCGCTCTTCGGAGGGTTGATTTAACTTTTCGAGAGACAATATTTTTGGATCACCTCCAAAAATCTCAAGTACGTCACATGGGTGCGTCGAGAAAACTTGAACATTTTTTATTTTCAAGTACCCGAATTTTCGATTCTCTTAAAGTTTTTTCGAGAGATAAGCACGTTTTTTGTCTGGATGAGAGACAAATTGTTTTCAAGGTGCTCCGGAAATCAACTTGGCTTGATGTTGAAACCGATAGTTTTTTTAAAAAGTTGCTATAAAATAAATTTCCAAAACTTTGTAAGGGCTCAAAGCTAGTAAATTATATTTTGTGTGACTCTTTTTCTTTTGATGATGTAAATTCAACATCGTCAGATTAGATAAGCGTTAAAAGATATCAATGTTCGTTTGTTATTTAAATATTTTGCCGTACAGTTATATGAAACTTAAAGGAAACAGCCTTAGCCTTATCTTAATCACATTCAATTATCTAGATTATTAAAATAAATTGGTATATTGTATACTGTTTGAAAAAAAATATTGAAACGTATCAGTTATTTCTATATCGAAAGTTTATGGTGACCAAATTCATTTTTATGTTAAGATAAAACACAGCTGTAAACTGGTTAGAATTGTTGTAAGTTTATACATCCATTTACCTTTCTTACTTGTCCTAAGACTTCATATAGATTTTATAAAGAATGAATATGAACATACTCACTAGTCATTTTTCGGGTAATGTGTTTTTTAGGAGAATAATTTTTTTTTCGTTTTAATACGTTCGACATAACACAACGCTTTCGAAAATTTTGGAAAAGCGTTATTATCATTTTATCATTGCTGTTTATACTTTTATTTTCTATTCTATAGGTCGTCAACCGGTTGTTTTAACAGAAATACAATTGGATGAATTAGCTTATTTACTTCATGCTAAGTAAAGTCAACAATTGATAAAAAAAATGATTAAAAAAATTGCTTTAATATATCTGTGTTATTTTTTTCTCTCTTGAAGTGTTCATCGAAGTGATATAGAGAAGATTAGTGATACAAACAAAGTTGAAGAACGAATGAGAGATTTATGGCGATCAATGAGTACCACAAAAAAGAAAGCCTATTATACAAGAGTTTTAAATTTGCATAAGAGACCAAATCGAGGTGTTGTTGTTGTACCAGCTGGTAAGATGTTTATAGTGTTCTTCATACGATGTTGAAAAAAAATTGAACTTCAAAGTATTAGACACGTTGCTATGAAAAAGAATTTGGTCTTCGAATACCAAAAGTCACCTTAAGACTCGATTTGGAATCTTGTCTTTAGATGAAATTGGAAATTCAACAACGCCTATTCTTCAACCTCCAACAACATCTGTTTCTCCATCGACCATCACACCGCCATTGTCATCAACACCAACTTCAACAATAAATCCCTTTGTTTCAACTCATCGTTCACCATCACCATTGTTGTTTCAGTCGATTTCAACTCCAGTTAACGTTGAATTCGATATGTTAATGCAAAAAAATGATACATCACCATCACAAAAACAACATCCACAGGAACAAATAATCGAAATCGCTCCATCGATTGCCTATGTCGATCCTCAACAATCAAAGTCGTTCATTTTCAAGGATATAATAGATGAATTAATAAAAGGCAGTAAAGGTTTAGATAAATTATGTCAACCATCATCCGTTTTAAATTCTATACAACACTTTATTCAATCATCTCAGGAAAAACAAATCGATACTTTAAAAAAATTAGAAAAAGATGCAGAAAAGTAAGCGTTTATTTTTTCTTTTAATGTGTTACAATTAAGAAAACACTGTTTACCGTTAAGAAAGGAAATAGTGAGATGGAACAGTATGGCATATATTGCTATTCTCTTCTAGGAAATGTGCAATTCAATTCACTAGAGCTACGCTGTTTTGGAGACAACGTGTAACATATTTTTTAACAAAACATTCATCAACAGCTGTTATAGAATACACGAATGAAATTGAACGTATAGTCAAATATTACTATTTACTTGTTTTATGTAAGTATTTGTTTTGGAAATGTTCACTTGATAATAAGTTTTTATTTTTATTTTTTCTCAAAGCATTAAATTTTCGACGCCAAGAAAAAGAATTTGAAAATACATTAACGACATTTATGAATGAAAAACTAACGTAAGCAGTGTTGGTGTAGAATGAACATCGAAAAACGGTTTATTTTTTCTCGTTTTAGGTTCAAAGATACATTACGTTCATCAACAATCACTGATATATTGAATGAGTTAGCTAATAATCCATTGTTATCCAATGATTTTTTGAGTTCACAATCAATTGTAATTAATAACATTGAATATGCATTACCGTCCATACATAATACTGAATTAGAATGCGAAATAATCGAACAAATGAAAAATGATGACGTTGTAGAAACAACAATATCCTTTCTTGACGTTGATGAAGTGGCTAATTTTCTATCTTGCTGTGATCGTAAGTGATTTTGTTATATAAATAAGAATAAAACAATATCCAAGTGTAAAAAACTGAAAAATCCTTTTTTAGGAATGTTTTCCATGACACATTCGAATATGAATGCATGTGCTGCTCCCTACTGTTCACATTATCCACCACAGCAACCAATGTTTAACCAATATCAGCAACCAATTCTTCCCCAACAATACACTAATAATGTTTGTTATTTTGCATCACCGCCTTTATCAACAATGAATCCCGCAATGAATTATTTTGAATCGCCTTATATCTTAGCACACGAATCCACCCATCCGTCTTATTATAATCCATCCTTATATCCTGCTACTCAATATTCAGTAATTCAACAATCTCAACAACAACAACAACAGCAACAACAACAATATTATCAATCGTTCCAGCAACATGCATTTGACTGCTATTATCCGTCTACCACTGTTGGATGTCAGACACAGCACCATAATCCATTTCACCACGCTCAACAACAACAATATCATCAGCAATTAGAAGCAGATGTTTCATTTCGTCGTGCTGCTTCGTTAAACAGAAAATATACTTATTCAAATAATGCTCAACAACAACAACAACTAACAGCCACCACTGTAGCATCATCTACTACAACTCAAGCAATGTCACCGACGTAAGCTTATGACACAAATTTCTCATGAGTAATTACGTTTTCATAGTTAGAAATATATACGAAACAAAATTGTGAGGTTCAGCTATGAAATATTGGAAGAAGCAGTTTTCTTTAAACAAGATTGGTCGTTCATTTTTTCTCTATTTTTTTTATTCTAGATGTGAATATTGATCTACCACTGAAACTAGCCAAATGTGTATTCATTTAATATAACAACAATACCATATTTATTTATACCTTACATATTCTGTATCAGAATACTGTGTATGTCTTTGTTAT